CTTTGTAGAGAGAAGCTCTTTGGCTACCCAAGCATATAAGCAAACGGTCCTCACCACCATAGGCCTTAGCCAAAGTGCGAATGAGCTTGTTAACCTACTTCTTGAGATTCTCATTCTCAACCACTATTGAGGCATCACAAGTGAGACCATCTACTAAATGAGGTGGAAGTGGAAGTACTACAAGAAGGCTTAGTAGAAGGAACAATGATAGGCATAGATAGTGATTCATCAATTATATCATAAGTTAAACCTACATTGCAAGTTTCAACATGCTTCTTTTTATTTTGCTCATCAAGCAAAGAGGAATGAGCCTTTTCAAGCTTTTTGTGAGCTTTGCCAAGCTTCTCATTGGCTTCCTCTAGCCTCTCATGAGATGCATTGAGCTCATCAAAGGCTTGCTTAAGGGCTTTTAGTTCCTTACGCAAGCTTTTGCATTCCCTTCTCTTGATGTCAAAGTGTTCTCTAACATCTTCTAGCATGTCAATCAATTCATCCTTAGTAGGTTCATCATCATCACTATGACTATCATTTTCTTTTTCTTTTTCATTATCATCATCATGTTCTTCATCACTTTAATCATCACAAGTTTGTACCTTAGTGGCCTTAGCCATGAAGCATGATGAAGAATCAAAGAGAGAAGGCTTCTTATTGATAGCAATGCTTGCTAGAACCTTCTTCTTGGTGGTCTTGTGATCATCACTATCATCATCATCATCACTTGAGGAAGCATCACTATCCCAAGTGACCATATATGAACCACCATTCTTCTTTTTGAAGGTCATCTTGTCCTTCTCTTTTTTTTCCTTCTTGTCTTCTTGTCATCATCATTGTCGCTATTGTATGGACATTGAGCAACAAGATGATCTTTGCTTCCACACTTGAAGCACCTTCTTGACTCTTCTTTGTTCTTGGATGAATACTTCTTTCTTCTAGCACGGTAGCCCTTCTTCACCATAAACTTGCCAAATCTCTTGAAAAAGAGAGCCATCTTCTCATCATCATCATCATCCCATGAATCATCTTCTTCACTAGATGTTTCTTGCTTGGCTTTGCCCTTGGATGATGTGGCCTTGAATGCCACGCTCTTCTTCTTCTCATCCTTCTTCTCATCTTTCTTCTCCTTCTTTTCTTCCTTCTCATCATCATCTCTATATGTGTCATCGGTCATTATGTCTCCCAACACTTGGTTTGGTGTCATGGTGTCCAAACCACTCCTCACTAGAATAGTGACCAATGTACCAAATCTTGAAGGTAAGCATCTCAAGAACTTGTGGAAGAAGTCCTTGTCCTTCACCTCTTCTCCAAGTGCTTTGAGATCATTGACAAGCACTTGAAGACTATGAAACATCTCTGGCACACTCTCATCCTCCTTCATCTTGAAGCTTGCAAACTTCTCTTTGAGAATGTATGCCTTTGCACCCTTCACGGCTTGAGTGCCCTCAAATGATTCTTACAACTTCTTCCAAGTCTCTTGAGCCATCTCAATATTTTTGATTTGCTCAAATGTTCTTTCATCAATTGCATCATAAATGGCACTTAGAGCAATGTCATTGTTTTGGAGAAGCACTTCTTCGGCGGCGATGGGATTTTCCGGATCTTCAATCTCAATTTTGGTTTCTACTACCTTCCACACTCTTCTATTGATTGACTTGATATGTGTGGTCATCTTTGATTTCCCATATGGATAATTTGTGCCATCAAATTGGGGTGGCTTCTTGGTGTTGTTGATTTGAGCCATTTTTACACCGAAGGTTGTTAAGCCTCAAATCACGGTGACCTTGGCTCTGATACCACTTGAAAGGTCCTAATGGCTAGAGGGCGGGTGAATAGCCTAATAAATTTCTACAACAACACTTAACCAAATGGTTAGACAATTATGAGGCTAAGCAAGTGTTGCGCTAGCCTACTCAAAATGCAAGCCACCTACCACAATTCTAGTTTAGATAGTATCTATTCACACAATAGCTATGACACTAGTCTATGTTAGTGTGCCCTCAAAGGCTAACTAAAGAGCCACACCAACCAACCAACCAAGCTCTCACAACTAGCTACACTAAAGAGCTTGACAACTAGTTTGCGGTAATATAAAGAGAGTGATCAAGAAAGTTATACCGCCGTATAGATGAAGGAACCAATCAATCACAAGAGTGAATAACACTGAAGACCAATCACCTCAGAATCAAAGGATGAACACAATGATTTTTATCGAGGTTCACTTGCTTGCCGGCAAGCTAGTCCTCGTTGTGGCGATTCACTCACTTGGAGGTTCACGCGCTAATTGACATCACACGCCAAACCCTCAATAGGGTGCCACACAACCAACACAAGATGAGGATCACACAAGCCACGAGCAATCCACTAGACTACCTTTTGGCGCTCCGGCGGGGAAAGGTCAAGAACCCCTCACAATCACCACGATCGGAACCGGAGACAATCACCACTCTCCGCTCAACGATCCTCACTACTCCAAGCCATCTAGGTGGCGGCAACCACCAAAAGTAATAGGCGAATCCTATAGCGAAACACGAACACCAAATGCCTCTAGATGCAAACACTCAAGCAATGCACTTGGATTCACTCCCAATCTCACAAAGATGTTGAATCAATGATGGAGATGAGTGGGAGGCCTTTGGCTAAGCTCACAAGGTTGCTATGTCAATGTAAATGGCCAAGAGGGTGAGCTTGAGCCAGCCATGGGGCTTAAATAGAAGCCCCCACGAAATAGAGCCGTTGTACCCCTTCACTGGGCACAACGCGGGGTGACCGGACGCTCGGTCGGATTGACCGGACGCTGGCCCTTAGCGTCCGGTCACGTGATTCACGCCACGTGTCCCCTGCTTCAAATATTGTTCGTCAGATTTTAACGGTCGTTTGTTGACCGAATGCGTCAGTTAGAAAGTGACCGACGCTGGACCTCAGCGTCCGGTCGTTTCCAGTAAGGTTCCAAATGCGATTTTCCCGACCGGATGCGTCCGGTCATGCCCGACCGGACTCACCCAGCGTCCGATCAATCAACGTCTCCTCTGTATGCCCTACGTCAGCACTAACCAAACGCACCCTCCCAGCGTCCGGTCGCTGAGCGACCCAACGTCCGGTCGTTTGACCGATGCCACGCGCTTACTGCTGCTATTGACCGGACGCGCCGGTCCAATCGAGGCCAGCGTCCGGTCACTTACAGTTACCTCTGTCTTTTCTGTCTAGGGCGCCGGTGGCACCGTCGAACTATCCGCACTCTACGGGCGGACACTCCGTCGATGGAGTTTCTTACCCTTGCTCCCAAACTTCACCACCCTTGATCAAATGTGCCAACCACCAAGTGTATCACCTTGTGCACATGTGTTAGCATATTTTCACAAACATTATCAAGGGTGTTAGCATTTCACTAGATCCTAAATGCATATGCAATGAGTTAGAGCATCTAGTGGCACTTTGATAACCTCATTTCGATACGAGATTCACCCCTCTTAATAATACGGCTATCAAACCTAAATGTTATCACACTCTCTAAGTGTCTTGATCACCAAAACAAAATAGCTCCTACCATTTATACCTTTGCCTTGAGCCTTTTGTTTTTCTCTTTCTTCTTTTTAAGTCCAAGCACTTGATCATCACCATGGCATCACCATTGTCATGTCATGATCTTCATTTGCTTCACCACTTGGAATGTGCTACCTATCTCATGATCACTTGGTAAACTAGGTTAGCACTTAGGGTTTCATCAATTCACCAAAACCAAACTAGAGCTTTCAGAGTTCGACATGGACATGGACTTAGGTGAAGCTATTGATCAATTGAGATAACAACTAGGATCACAAAAACCAAACAAGTAAGATTGAAAAATAGAAGGGGATCAAAATTCTTGAACAAAGAGAAGCACACAAACAAGGGGAGCAAGCTCATGAATACATGTTTGATGCATTTGGTTGTGCATTACGTTTTCTTGCTTGCATATGCATAGTAGTTTTATCATGTGGTATCATGCTTGTGTGCATTGTTTGCTGGAACTAAGACTTGAGTGATGAAATGTTTAGTTGGTATCTAGAGTTCTAGACTTAGCTTGCAAGTGGTAACTAGAACCTTGTTTACATTGTTGATCTGCGTGGTATATAACTTCACTCATTTCTAGCAAGGTATCAATGCTAAGGATGGTTTTCGACGCCTAACTATGCACGAAAATCTAAGAAGATAACCTATCCAATGGCGTTGGTCTGTGTCAAAATTCCACAGGAGTCAACGGGGATCGTCAAAACAAATCAGCGTCCAAAATTTACTAAGGTGTTGTGACACCGTCTTTTGGTCTGTTGTGTTATGTATCACCTTAGAGGCCATTAGGGGGCGTGTCCAGGGGTTATGCACTTCCCCAAAGACTTTATATTGAGCCACTACTGCTCACGTTATGTTTTGGATTTTGGTTTAGATCAATCTGTCTTCAAATAGTCAGTGTTCTCGGTTTGTGAAACCCCATATTCTAGTGCTTAATCATACATCTGTAATTATCACTTCAATTGAATTGCGTTCTTTCGAGTTCTTGCTTATGTTCTTCAATTCGCATGCAAGGATAGCCTCCTCAGCGAGGTCAAACGGATTGTGATGCGGTTGATAACTAGAGGAGACATCGTGTTAAGGTTGCAAGGTTGGAGTCTTTTGATATGAAACCGGATTGGTGTGTCGCATCTCCACCGAATCGATAGTTATCTCCGTCTGATGGAAGATCGGAAACCGTTCCCATCACATGGAGATGCTCTAGAACATTTTGCTAGGCTCATTTAAAAAACACACAACAAGCTGAGCTAAAGAGGTAGAGTTTTTTGTCCAGCTCTTAATCATTGAAGCCAAGCACATAGACCCAGCCCTCTAGTGAGAAGCCCGCATTACATGTTGTCTTGCCACTTCACCTACTACCTCTTCCCTTCCCAAGTCAACCACCACATAGGAGAAACCAGCACAAAGGGGGAGAGACTTGACTCCATGATCAATCGGCCTGCACGCCGGTAAGAGAGATGGAGGCTGCCCTGGTGAGTGGATTCATCAAAATTATTGTGCCAAGGCTGTTTTCTCTCTCAAGTGAGAAGTACAAGCTGCACAAGAGCGTCAAGGGTAATGTCGAATTCCTGCAGCATGAGCTTGAGATGATTGCTAGAACTATTGATGACCAGATCTCCAGGGGAGAGCATCTTAGCTCAGCTCGAACTCAGTGGATCCAGGAGCTGCGTCAACTGGCCTATGAGATTGAGGACTGCATAGACCGCTACGTGTATCGTCTGACCTACAAGCAGCAAGCATCGTCCATCCGTCGGGCCACCATGGTACTCGCCAGCTTGCAGTTCGCCGACGAGATCCGGAAGCTCCGGGACAAAGTCAAGGAACCATACGAGCGCATACGGAGGTACACATCCGACTCCCAGTGGTCTACTCCGGTTGAGCCGCCAGCGCCTGCGTATGATCCGCACACCAAGAAGGCCGACCTCGTCGGAATCGACGTGCCGCAAGAGGAGCTCTTGGAGCTCCTGGAAGATGACGAGGTTGAATGGAGGAGGAAGGTTATCTCCATCGTTGGGTTCAATGGGGTAGGCAAGACCGTTCTTGCTGAGCAGGTGTATGAAAACGATGCTGCTAACCAGTTCAGTCCGAAGGCTTGGATTGATGCACAGGAGAAGGATGCCAAGGATGTTCTGTTATCCCTTCACTCAAGTCTTGGTCTTCACAATGAACCACAGGGTACCAGCAACGTCAAGCTCCTAAGCTCAAAACTTGAAGGATACTTGCAAGATAAGAGGTACAGAATCATACTAATTTTTGAGAAAATTCTCTCAAATCAGGCATCAATTCTCTCTTCCCAGTACATGTTTAGAAATAAATTTTAGTTAGCATTGAACAAACTAAAAAATACAATACCACAAATGATTACACCCAATTGATGCCATCGTTTAATGCTGTCATGTAATAATGTTGAGCCGGTTAATTATCCTGCAGTAAGAGAACCCCATTGGTTACGCTGGCCTTAAAGCAGTTTGATAACTGTTCATTGTCATTAATTTTCCTGTTAGGTACCTTATTGTGATTGATGACATGAGGACTGAACTCTGGAGTACTATAGGATCAGCCTTCCCTGATAACAAGGGTCTCAGTTGCAGAATAATAGTGACAACGCCTATTCAGTCAATAGCTTATGCCTGCAGCTCTGAAGACCTCTATATCTACAAAATGAGAGGACTTGATAAGAAACATTCAGCACAACTGTTCAAGAGGAAAGGGACAAAAGTTGAACTCGAACAAACACAGATTTTGAAGAAATGTGATGGTCTACCACTTGCCCTAGTTAGCATAGCACAGTTCATGTCCAAAAAGTGTGTGCCAAATGGAACAAGCTGTAAAGATGTGTGCAACAGGCTAGGCTACTATTTGGAGATGGACAAAGATACCTTGGCAAGAATGCAAGGGGTGCTAGCAAAGAACTATGCAAGCCTACATGGACATGAGCTCAAAGCATGTTTGCTATATTTGGGTTTGTTCCCAAGTGAGCATCCAATCAGGAAGAAGAGGTTGTTAAGGCGTTGGTTAGCTGAAGGCCTTGTAGAAACACAAGACCTCGCAGTGATGAATTTTCAGGAATTCATAGACCGGAATATCACCAGGCCCATTGATGTGAGCTACAATGAAAAGGTGAAGGCATGCAGAACTTGTGGAATAATGCTCGAGTGGATTAGACTCAAGTCCGTCTCTCAAGATTTCATTACCCTATGTTGTGACGGCATAGTAAAGTTGCTCTGTGATCAGGGGGCGCAACCTAAATGTGTCCGTCGGCTCTGTCTCCATCGTGGTGGTACAGCCCATGTGAGTTTTGGTAATGTATCACTTGTCCGTTCGCTGACGATCTTCAACGAGGCAGATGAAACTTTGGTGGATTTTGGGAACTGTCAGCTACTACGTGTTTTAGATCTTGAAGAATGCAACAATTTGAGTGAAGAAAAACTCAGAGGAATTTGCAACTTGCTGCTGCTGAAGTACCTTAGCCTGGGAGGAACAATTACAAAACTTCCAAGAGAGATTGCAAATCTGGAATTTTTGCAGACACTCGACATAAGGAGAACAAATGTCAGAACACTGCCCATAGACGTCATGTCGCTTCCCTTTCTCGTCCATCTGCTTGGAAAATTTAGGCTCACTGGTAAAGCCAAACAAATGAGTTAGGCAGAACAGTTTTTATCATCAGGGAAAAGCAACTTGCAGACATTGGCAGGATTTATCGTTGGTGAAAGTGAAGGATTTCTGCAGCTACTGAGTCATATGAACAATCTGCGAAAGATCAAAGCATGGTGTGAGTCTATTTCCGGCAGCAATGGCACAGTTCATCTTGTGGAGCCTGTTCAAAAGTACATCCAAGATAACGATGAGGAGGAGCAAACTAACCAGGATGACCGCTCCATGTCACTTCATTTTAAGGTTTCCTCTTTGGACTTCCATTCTTTGAAAGGCCCCTGCTATCTTAGCTCACTGAAATTGCATGGCATGTTAGGGACGGCATTGCCTCCGTTTGTTTCATTATTGCGTGGTCTCCGTGAGTTGTGCCTTTCAACAAGCACCCTGACAGCAGATATCCTGGCTACAGTGAGCAAATTATGCTACTTGCAATATCTCAAGCTGATTGCAGACCAGATTGAAGAATTCTTCATAGAAGCAGGGGCATTCCCGAAGCTGCTGCGCCTGTGCCTTGTGCTTCAACATCCGACCAATAATATCCTGGTAATCAATGAGGGCGCTCTATCAAAGCTTGTCGCACTTCAGCTGCTTTTTGAAGGTCTAAATGGTCCTTCTGGCATCAATATTGCACACCTGAAATCCCTTAAGGAAGTTACACTTCATCCTGATCAAACTATAAAACTGGATCAATGGCAACAAGCAGCTAGGGATCATCCGAACAGGCTCAATGTTGAACTTATGGGCACCATTGATCCAATGGATATTGATGCTGCAGAGAATTCTCCTCTGCAAGATGAGAAATCAACTCCTGAGAACGTCACACAAAGGCCACTTCAGGATCATTCCAGTTCATCTACCAGACTCAAAGTAATGATGACGTGATGAAATGTAGGTTTGAAGAAATCAAGAAAATGAGTCCCGACCATGAGCATTCTCTCGTTTCAATCGACCTGTCCAATGTTGCATGTGCTACTAATGTTAATAGTACGACATGCTGGTACAAGGATCACAACTCTTACGCCTGTTCGTTCAGTGTTTTCCCATGTTTCTGTTGTCCGGTCGTTTCATCGTTACTTAGTTAGTTGATAAAGTGGTGTGCATTCTACACATCCTTATTGTCTTGTTCAGTGCAGCATTGAGGATTGATAAAGGCTCTTATCCCATAACATCAATACTTGGTAGCATGTGGGATTTCTTAAGATTGCGAAACTATCAAACGACCACTTAGGAATAGCCATTACTCATACCACCAAAGTACCTTCATACACAATAAATCAGTGGCCTGGTAAGTGGATTCCCAGCAAGGGTTGAAAAGCTCAGGGAACTAACCAAGGTTACCCTGGCATAGATGAATTTCAATGTCTCAAATTCCTTGTCATTGAGTGCTCAGGTGTGACTGTCATCAACTTTGGCGATAAATCCACTCCTAAGCTGAAGAAGCTAGTTTGAATTTCCACTGGGTCGCACAGTATCTTACTGGAAGTGAGCAACTTCTGAGCCTCAAAGTGGTCAAACTTACAGTTACCTTCAACATCAAAAGGATGCAACAAGCAATTGCAGCAAACACAAATTGCCCCATCTTGGAAACAAATTAAACTGATGCCTAGAGTAAGACCAGCTGTCCCCGTTGCTCTTTGACTGCACTGCATGCTTGAATGTCAATTCTGGAACGGAAAGCAGCTCGAGGGAAGACTTTCTGTTGCAATTGGTGACCCAATGCTACATGTTTGATTGTATCTTGCTCTATATGTACTTTATCTTGATGAATTGTTACTGTCCTGTGTCCTTTTACCCCATATGCCATTGTATGCTGTAAATTTGGACTGGTGTGTTGTATTTTATGGCATGATTATCATTCACTCTTCAAATCGTTTCAGCAAGAATCTGATCTGTGCCTCATATGTCTAAAAGGTAAAAGAAATAGCATTAAATTGTGTCAAACATCTACTTCTAAAAAACACCTGCAATGTGCCATATAATATGGTTATATATGTAATATGCCATATATGCCTCAAACAAGCAAAATTTCCCAATTTCAGTCAATGTCTAGACTATGGTTCAGATGCACCAATAATCTTATAAGGCAAGGCAAACATGGGTGTTATTTTGGCAAGAGTAAAGTTCATGGCCGGTCCTCGAACTTGTATGGGTGTGTCATCCCGGTCCCCAAACCAAAAAAGTGTGTCATTTCGGTCCTTAAACTCTATTTGGGTCTATATTCATCCAAACGGGTATGGATCCAAGCCCATGTAACACTTGATTGCTTGAAATAGAAAATTAGCAGAGGTTATATACAAAACCGAGATAACACTTGATCCAAGCTCCAGCTCTACCAGACCTTCTTCCATAGCTTAGCCGCCGCTGCTGCCGCTGCATAGGGCGCGCGAGCAACTCACTGCCGTTGCCACGCACAGGCGAGCGAGCAGCTGCAGAGTGAGGAAGGAGACAACTGTTTTCAAAACAACCCTCATGAAGTTTATAAATATTTGTGTAATTTTTGTGTCTTCACGATTTTGTATATAACCCCCGCTAATCTTCTATTTCAAGCAATCAAGTGTTATCTCGGTACTCGAGCTTGGACCATACCAGTTTGGATAAATATGAGACCCAAATGATACACCTTTTGAGTCTAGAGACTAGGATGACACACCTGTACAAGTTTGAGGACCGGCCATGAACTTTACTCTTTTGGCAACATAGGAATATCTTCTCTTTATTTTTCCTCTTTTTACTTGGACTTTTTTCTGTTATTTTTATTTTCCTTATGTCTTGTTCTATCTTTATTAATTTTTCCTATTTTTGATATGTTAAGTTATTTATTATTTCTATATATTTTATAGATTTTCTCATTCATTTTTCCTCTATTTTCACGATATTATAATACCATTCACATGACCATATATTGTTTTTATCCTAAATCTAAATATTATTCTCCTTAACTTAGAACATTTGTTTTATGATGATGAAACATTTAATCATGGACCTAGAACATCGTTGTACTCAATAAAAAACAATTGTTCTATCATCATGAGATAATTGTTTGTTAATAAAATTTTATCTAAATGTATCCATGTGAGATCTTGTTTTGAAGAGATTATTACAAGAAATATGATGGTGCAATCGAATTTAATTTTGATGCTTGGTTTAGCAGCTATGATTTTTTGTTTACTTCAAAAGTATTAGACACGTGCTTATGTCAGTAATTTTGGATTTTTCATGCATGCCACATTGCTATAGTGAAAAATGGGTTCAAAAGCGCATAACACGCTCCCACAATTAGCGTCTAGCGAAGTTCCGTGCGGAGAGGGCCGGCCCATGCGCGGAAGCAGCGAAAGCCCATGCGCAACGCGTTGCCGCCTCGGAATAAAATCGTCGGCGCGCTGTTAGCGTCCTGCCGGCCGGACCCTAACAGGCTAACACCATCCCAGGAGCACCGGAGGAGGTCAAAGGCTCGTGCTGACCAGCTGGACTGCCATGCGCCGTGGTCCACTTCAATTCTAGTGCGGCTGAAAAGTAAAGAAACAAAAAAATGAAACATAACACAACATCAATAAAAACCGAGTAAAAACAACTCAGAAAAACAACCGGCAAAATCAACTCCTTTGGTAATTGGTACGTGTAGAAAAGAAAACTATCCACCAGTGAAACACATTATAAACAAATGTTCTTTTTTTTATAGAAGTCTGTTTTGATCATTAGTTAATAGCTAGTTGCTTAGTGTAGACTAGCTCATATAGGAGTGATTCCACTGAATTCCTCGGAGGGAGCTGGGGAGCTAATGAGAATTGATTCTCTGCGGATCAGGGTGAAGCAGGCTTTTTTAGCTTCTAGCTCCTAATGTAAATGCTGAAGTGATTCTCTCCTGATTCCCGCCTGAATCAATTGGCATTTTGGGCGTTTGGCTGGTTGGGAGTGATTCTCTTCAGAGAAGCTAAAGCTAGAGCTCTCCCAAATGGCCCCATAACAAATATATGGCATATGCAAGGGAAGCCCCAAGCACGTACTCTCCATCTATGATTCTGCTTTCTCTCCCTTTCTGTACAAAACAGCCATTATGTGGTTGGAAGTATTAAGAGGACACAAGGGAGGTTTAAGAGGACTCCACACCTCTCTCAAAAATTTGGGTGGTTTAAGAAGACTCCCATCCATGCAATTTTACATTGCACAACACTTTTTGATGGACATCGTTAACGCGCAACGACCCATCTTCCTCCTCGCTATGCCTTCTCCCTTCTTCCTCCCCGCGCCCCTCCCCCACCCTCCACCACCAGTCGCTAGTGGCTCCCGCTGCCCCGCCCACCTCCCGTCTCCACCCTCGCCCTCACCCTCCCCTAATCTCATGGAACCTCGCCAGCGTCATCCTCGCCCTCGCCCTCACCATCGGCGGGCGACGATGAGCTGCCTCGATGTGCCACCCTCAACCCGCTCCCACCCCTTGACCCCGTCGACCCTAATCCAAGGGCAGGGTGCCGGCAAGATCTGCCATGACGCCTAGACCACCGGCCCTGCCCAACCACAGCGGGCGGCGCCACCGCCGCCCCACCACCACCGCCGTGTCATAGCCGCCTCCCCCCAATCCCCCTTCGACTACTACATAAAAGATTTTACAAGGCGGTGACCTTTTATTATCCGAGGCGGGCGAGCTGGGTGGCCGCCTCCGTTAATTGGTGGCAGGGCTACCGACCGAGCACCCGCCTCGGTTAAAGACTAACGGAGGTAGGCAGCTTTATGTGTCTACCTCCATTAATGCTCGATTAACGAAGGCTCCATTAATGTATTAACCGAGGCGGGCACCGTCAGCCAACCGCCTCGGTTAATAGAGCATTAACCGAGGCGGACGCCTTATGTCGCCCGCCTCGATTAATCGATTAACGGAGGCAGTTGCAAAATAACCGCCACCTAAAATTGATTAATGGAGGCGGGCCTCTCCAAAAATGGAGGTCATATTCAGAGCTGAACGCCTTATGAGGCCCGCCTCGGTTAGAAGGCCTGAGGCCAACACAACAACCCACTCCAAACCCTAAGTAAATATACGTAGCCCCCCTCTCTCTCCACATCCAGTTCTCTCCACCTAGCCGCCGCACCAAAGCCGCACGACGTCTCCCTCTCCCTCTCGGCGCACAGAAGCCGCACCCACTTCTCTCTCTCCCTCTGCTCCCTCTCCGTCTCCGTCTCCGTCTCCCTCTCCTTCTCTGGTCTCTCTCTCTCTCTACTTCCTCTTCGTCGTGCGTCCTTCCCCAACTATGGCCTGGAGCTCGGCCCGCGCGGGTCTTCTCCACGGCGGCTAGTGGCAGGGCTCGGCACGGTGCCCCTCCAGCGGCGGTCCTCGTCCGGTGGCTCCTCTCCTCTGATTCGGCCACCACAGACGCGACACAATGGCGAGGGCACGGATCCGGCCATCACCGACACAGATACGGCCACCAACGGCGGCGATGGCGTGGCTCCGGCCACCAGCGGCGGCGAGGGCGCGGATCCGGCCACCAGCGGCGACGAGCGTATGGATCTGGCCACCAGCGACGGCAGGGGCGCGGATCCAGCCACCAACTGCGGTGAGGGCGTGGATCCGGCCACCATAGACGCGGATCTGGCCACCAGCGGTGGCGGCGGTATTCCCTGAAGCGGGCTCGGCGTTGGGCCTATGGGTGGGCTCGGCGTCAGGTCTAGGCTTTTTTTGTTTTTAATCGATTTTCACAGGCGGGCGCCCTAATGTGCCCGCCTCCGTTAATAGATTAACTGAGGCGGGCCAGGCAACCACCTTCGTAGGTCCGCATTAATGGAGACGGTTGTGTTGCTCGCCTCCATTAACCAAAAAGGCCTACCTCTATTAAGCTATCTGTGGTAGTGTTCTAAGCCCGCCGGAGAGCAGATCCCAAACGCGCCAGAACCCTAGCCGCAGGCGTCTTCTTCTTCGTCTCTGGTGGGGCACGGGCAGGTGGAAGAGCGTGGGAGAGGGAGGGGAAGATGGAGTGTGGGAGCGGGTTGCGCCGTCGCGCTCCAACGTGACGGTCGTGTATTTGTGTTTCCCCTTTTGGATAGAACAAATGGTTTTCACTCTTAAAATTGGGACCTAATCTTTAAATAAAGTGAATGATCATATTTCTTTTGACAAACAAAATAACTCAAGACTCATATGGACTATACATTAATGTTCAAATAATGATGCCATGTGGTAAATTTGAATTTAAATTCAAATCATAACATTTGAATATTTGAATTTGAATTGTTGTTTAATGTTATACGATGAAATATTTGTGATGGCCGGCAATGTTCACATGAACTAGACTGTTGTCGTAGAATGAAAGAGAAAGGAAAAGACAAGATGCATAGACGGCACAAACCATTGGGTACTATACTTTTATCGTCCCTCTATTTGTTTGAAAGAGCCATCAAATACACAGATGGGGACAACAAATGAGGCAAATGGCTAGAGCTGCTGGGTTATTTGGATCCACTGGCTAATCCCCCACCTGTCCCAAATTATAAGTTATTCTAACTTTTTAGAGAGTCAAAACATATCAAGTTTGACCAAATTCATACAATAAAACAATAATGTTTATAATATTAAATTAGTAACATTAGATTCTTCACTAATCATATTTTCATAGTATATCTGTTTGATGTCATAAATCTTTATAATTCCCACTATAATTTTAGTTAAACTTAAAATATTTTGACTCTCTAAGAAAGTTAGAATGACTTATAATTTAGAACGGAGAGAGTAACTGATTGGAATCTTAGAATTCTTAATGCCCAGTCTTTAGTGTGTCCACACATACTGCATCGGAAGGGGAGGTGGGAGCGCTGCTCGGCTGGGAATTTCTTCGTAGAAGCAACAGCCGAACAAACTATTAACTAGAGGCGCGTTTGCGACCTGCAGACTGGCCCGGCCTGGCCAGCCCAACTGACCCAGGCCTAGGCAGTCTGCCCTAAGTGGTGCAACAGCTCTTGTTTGCGCCTGTGTACCCAGTGAGCCTGGCTCAGACGAGGCTGTGTTTGTCATCGAAGAGGCAGCCGGGCTGAGAGGCTAACCGCATCTCACGGCAACGGCCTGCCTACACAGCATCTCACGGCTCAATGAGGGATCCATCTACAACCATGTAAAATTGAAACAGGAATACAGATCATCAGACCCTGCTAGGCATCAACATGCTCATGAAATGAATGAATAAGGAAATAGCACAGCTGCATCATGTATTGATGCCTCCCAGTGCACAAAAAGGACCACATCATCGACCACATCTCATAAAATAGTAACAAACCATAGCTTATCAGGTACCAAACCATAACAGAACCAAAGCAGCAGCAGCATCAGGTACCAAAAAATAAAAAACATCATCAGCTACCAAACCCTAATACATGTCGCATCCAGGGAAAACACAAGATGGAGGTGGGGAGGGGTGGTCCATTTCACCTTGGGCTCGGGGTCGTAGAACCGGAGAGGAGGCAGATCTGGAAGTAGAGGAAGCAGATTGATCTAAAGTCGAAGTAGACGGGGACGGAGAAGAGGAGGAACACCAACACGCCACCGAGTACCAGCGCAGCCGGAGCAGGAACGCGGCGAAGAACCCCAAAGGTGCGGAACGGAGGCAAAGTACGCCGGAGGTCGCCGCCGCCACCACGCACACGAGCTCACCGTTGGTCTCTCAGGAGGGAGGTGGAAGGTGACCAAAGCGAGGAGAGGAAGAAGGAGAGGCAGGGGGAGCGGCCGCACTTATAGGCGCGCGGATTGGCAGGCGGATTTGCCTTCCCGCGCGGCGGCAAGCGCGCGCGGAAGTTTCACCTTCCCATGAGCCACCCCCCGCCGCCGCCGCTCGAATCGCCCATGAAGCGCATGCAGCAGCCGAGCTTCGCCAAACGAAACGAACCCTAGCGGCGTTTCTCCAGGGCCAGGCGGCGGCGGCGTATTTGACTCCTGGGAGCCGGGCTCGCTCGCGGGCCAAGGCCGCAAACACGGGAGCCTGCAGCCCACGAGCGCAAGGCCGGCCTGGGCCACCCTCGCAAACGCACCCTAGGTGTACATTTGTCTTTTGCTATTCTCCTTGTGTCCTAAATTTGTCTGGATGTCAGTTTGCCTCACTGAATGTAAATGCTGCCATTGGATAACAGCTATCTAAATGCGAATCATGCAGTGTGAAAATAGCTCCGTAAATGTGAATGATGTTGTGTGAAAACAGCTCTATGAAATGTGAATAATGCAGTGGTGAAAGTAGCACTCTGAAATGTGAATAATGCAGTGGTGCAAATAGGTCTGAAATGTGTTCACGCGTGAAAGCTTTCTAGTTTGATATACTCCATTGCATATCCTATGAATATTCAAGATAATTAAAATATTTTCATTTACAACGTTAATTTGCCATGTGACAGTTCTAGTATAATACTACAATAATATCAAATGGCTACATAGTTAACATGGCATACTTGATCACTACATAATGCAGGAATTAAATTCTACACCTAGCCTATGAAACAGTGAAATAACACTGCATTGAGAGGGCTTGTTTCATACTCAGTTTTCAATAGTGTCACGTCTTGAAAATTGTGAGATAAAACCTATCATTGACACTGGCTTTATGCTTTGTCCTGGATTGACAGCCACGAAACCAAAACTGCGGCCATAGGCAGTTGGTAAGAGCAAATCCTGAAAACCACGTGCCCAAACTGCGCGCGCTATGCCAGTCGTATTGGCAGTTTGTAAAGCAATTGTAACCTCAGTGTCAGGCGTTCTCATACTCATAATGGGCAGTACCAGCACGATTATGCTCTCCGCCGCGAGTTCGGCCGGCGGCAGCGATGACGACGATGTCGAGTGCCGCACCTGCTACGGCGTCGTCGTGGTCTGCGTGTCGCTGCTCCTGCTCTGCGTTCTCGCGGCCACCGCCGGCGTTGTTAAGGCCTGCGCCGTCACCGGATTCACCGTGGTGTTCTTTGGCATAGTCGGCTGGTTGGTACCCTACGGCGCCACGGCTACCGGGAGAGACGCCATGGGCGCGCGGCGAGCTACTCATCATGACACAGGCGCCAGGGTCGTGATGGCGCTGCGGCGGGCCGGCTACTCCTGCCCGCTCGGTGGCACCGACGTGCCGCCGGCGTTTGCCTACGAGTGTCCCGCCGACGACGAGGGCAGCGCGCTGTGCGCGGTGTGCCTGGAGGACGTGCAGCAAGGCGAGACGGTGCGGCGGCTGCTGGCGTGTGGGCACCTGTTCCACAAGGAGTGCATCGACATGTGGCTGCACTCGCACACGACGTGCCCGCTGTGCAGGTGTGACCTCTCGCCGCGGCGGCATACCACGAAAACCATCGTGACGACGGTGGCGGCGCAGTCGTCGGCTGACGCGCTGCCGCCGGTTTAGTTTCCCCTTTTCAGATTGTTTGCCGCATTTCTTGGTCCGGCACATTATAGCGGGACATAGTGTCTGTCTCATGTGATCTGTATATTCCTATGTGGGTTGTACATTGTTCGTAGGGTAAATTTGGTCCACGGTGAATGTTCAGAATTCAGATAGATACAGGTTCATCATCAAGCCTACCAAGGTGGTGGCCAAACTATTCGATGATCGATATTCCTATGTGGTGAATGAGCGAACACTGGTAAGCATTTAGCAAATTAGTATTAAAAAAAAACTTGTTGCAGCTAATGAAGCCACTGACGTATATGTCAAGCTCTAAAGTTTTCCTATGTAAGAAATACTGAAGGCAGTCTGTCAGTCGTTTTCGATTTTGATATCTGAAGTCTCGATCAGGCTGGGAAAAGGAACATCTCTCACGTCTAATCAACGTGCCCCCCTGACCAAAGTGAGGAGATAAGATCTTTCGCCCAAAAAAATGCGTTTACGATCCGCCAAAAGCGGCCGGAATCAAAACCAAAACTGGAACCAAATCAAACAACCAAAACTGCGGCCACCAGCGGCTAAGCCAATACCTCGGGCGAAACCAAACCTGCCTTGGAATCGGAAGCCGAACGCGGCCGGCACGCCGCGGAGTCCAAGCACTAGCCGCCTATTTCTTGCGGCCGCGACGCTGCGCCATGCCAACCTCGTGTCGTGAGTCGTGACGACACCGCTCGCGCGTGTGCGCGCGCACAACGCTTAGCACTTTTTGGCATCTTAGATTTGTTTTTCTAATGCTCAACCCGCACCACCAGCGGCCGCTGCCGAGCGGCGCCCGACCCAACGACGGCTCCCTCGTCTGCTATGGCATCGTCGTCGCCACCGCGTCGCTGCTCCTGCTTGTCATCCTCGCCGCCACGGTCAGCATCGTCAAGGCGTGCGCCCTCGCCGGCGCGGTCGCGGTGGTGTTCATCGCCGCCGGCTGCGTCTCCCGGCGATGCGCAGCGGACGGAACGGCTCCTGCCCGGCCCATGACAGTGGCGATGCCAGCCGCGCGCGCCCGCGCCGCGTGTGGCCTCGTGGACGCGGCGATCGACGCGCTGCCGGCGTTCGCGTACGCTCGCCATGCTGGCACGTGTGGCGCGGAGGGTAGTAGCAGCAAGTCCGGAAGATGCGCACTCTGCTCGGTATGCCTGGAGGACGTCGAGGCCGGCGAGATGGTGCGGCAGCTGCCGGCGTGCGGCCACCTGTTCCATGTGGGGTGCATCGACATGTGGCTGCACTCGCATGCGACGTGCCCTCTGTGCCGGTGCGACGTCTCGCCGCAGCCAGTTGCTGTGAAGCTGACGGCAGCTGCAGATCCACGGGATGGTGCGCTGCCGCCGGTGTGAGCCGCTGACATCATACTCACGCCCGGGAGTGGGTCCTGTTTCGGGAAGAGACAATGATTCTTCAATTCTTGTGACCGATTTGTCTGTTTGTTATATACTGGGGCTTGAGAATTCAGTAACCACAGCTGATAAACTGAAGAGACTCACTGGAACCATTACATCACGTGTTCCTATGAACTATGATCTAAATTTTAGATCATTTTAGCTCTTAAAGGTTTCAAACAAGAGGTCTAAAATGTTGCCTAAAGTTTAGCTAACTTCATAAAAACTTTAGATCACACAAATAAGGTAAAGTGGTATAAACATTTATCTATCAATGTTACTTTTTTTTACTTAGTTAAACTTTAGATTAGACAATCCAAACATACCCTTACATTGCAAATGCATACGATGAGTGGTTAGATGCAATTATTTTAGGCTTTAACAGATGACCCACGTCACTGTTGGGCTTCCTGGTCGTTGCTTCCTCTGTAGAAACAAAAATAGAAAAAACAATACGAACCTACAGGACGACGACTTTTTCAGATGGGTTCTAGTGAACTTGGAAAAAACACACGTTTTCTGATCTCGGATACCTTCGGTATTATTTATTACTCCCTTCCATCCTAAAAAATAAAATACAATTCAGGAGTTTAAAATTTATCCCTAGCACAGGCGGTGCAATCGAGGACCTTGCCGTGGGCTGCGCTTGAGAACGCGCTCCTCTGCTGCGTGCGTTGCACCAGATGGCTGCTCTGTCTTCCCTAACGGGGCGGCGGCGGCAGCGGCGGAGGCAGCACCTTGCCGGAGTATGTGGTGCAGAGTCGAAGTCATGTCATGAACGAGTTTCCGGGGGAGCCCACGACGCGCGCCGGCGGGGCACGTGTAGCCGCAGCGGCTGACATCCCGGCGTACGAGCAGCGCGACGCCGGGCAGGGGCAGGCAGATGGCGCGTCTGATTGCGCGGTGTGTGTTGGCGAGATGGAGACGGGCGAGATGGTGAAGCGGCTGCCGGTGTGCCTCCACGTGTTCCACCAGCAATGCGTCGACAAATGGCTGAGCAACAACTCGACGTGCCCGGTGTGCAGGTGCGGGTTATAAACTGAAGAGACTCACTACAACCATTACATCACGTGTCCTATAAACTTATGAAAATGTTAGATTACTTTAGCTCTTAAGATTCCAAACGGGTAGATCTAAAGTGTTACTTAAAGTTTAGTCAACCCTACAAAAACTTTAGGCTATACAAATAAGTTAAAGTGATCTAAAAATTTATTCGCTAACTTTAGCCAACTAAACTTTGAACCAGAAAATCCAAACAAGCCCTTACCAGGCAAATGCATATGATGAATGGTGGATGCAATTATTTTAGGACTTGAACCGAGATGACCCACGTCACTGTTAGGATTCCTGATCGTTGCTTTCTCTGTAGAAACAAAAATAGAAAAAAAAACAATTCGAACCCACACGACGACGGCTTTTCAGACGCGTTCTAGTGAACATGGAAAAATCATACGGTTGCTGATCTTGGATACCGGCGGTGCAAGCGAGGACCTTCGGAATTTCCGTAGTCTTTAGCCTTTTCCGCTAGTGAATACGTACAAGAAAGACAAGAGGTCCAGCAACCCAGCCGGCATCGCCAGACAAGACGAGCCACCGTCGGCACGGGCGGCCGTGAAGAAGCATCCAGCTAGCCAGTTAGGCCTGACAACCAGGTCGAGGCGAAGCACCAACGCTGCATCCCAGTTCCCAGCCATGGATTGGTGCGACGGCTGCGTCCGCGTGTTCATGCTGGCCTTCGTCAACTCGTTCTTCCTGGGCAGCACGGGGACTTTCATCTACGTGCTCGTGCGAGATCACTCCGGCAGCACGACCGGCACCGTCGGGCTCTCCGTCTTCCTCGTCTTCTGGGGGAGCATCGGCGTCTTCTTCTGCTGCGTCTCCTGTGGCGCCTTGGTCCCGTGGGCTGCGCTTGGCAACGCGCTCCTCTGCTGCGTCCGTCGCATCGGCTGGCTGCGGCGCCCCAGCGGCGGCGGAGGCGGCAGCACCTTGCCCGCAGCGACGGCGGACATCCCGGCGTACGAGCTGCGCGACGCCGGGCAGGGGCAGGCAGATGGCGTGTCTGATTGCGCGGTGTGTCTTGGCGAGATGGAGACGGACGAGATCGTGAAGCGGCTGCCGGTGTGCCTCCACGTGTTCCACCAGCATTGCGTCGACAAATGGCTGAGCAACAACTCGACGTGCCCGGTGTGCAGGTGCGACGTGTTCGCGCCGCTGCCGGGGCAAATGGTGTGACCTTGATCTATTTCCCTGTTCTCTTTTCGTGATGTGGCTGAGAAAATAGACCCCAGCTGCCTTGATCTATTTCCCTATTCTCTTCTCGTGATGCGGCCGAGAAAATAGACACCAGCCCAAATCCACGGACCACTATCTTTTTATACCGCCGTATCACTGCTGGTTAGTGACACTTGTTATATTACTATTGGTTGATGCTTTCACCTAACAGTGATAACATGCATATTCCACTGTTGGCTCAATACCCGGTAGCGTGATAGGCCACCCCCATTACTGTTGATTGCCCTCTGCCAAACTCTATTCCTGCAGGTGGTGCAGGGTTTAGGTTAGATAGTGATTGTCTGTTCTGTTCTGGCGTAGTGGAGGGAGATGGTCAGAGACTTGTCACATGATGCGTCGAGCAATGGAAACAGGAGGAAGAGGAGGTTCCTAGCTTTGTGTACCTCAGCATCGATCTCCATACAACCCGACCCAGGGGGCGCACACGACGGCCAAGGCAGCCCTCGGGCATGCTTGGCCAAGGCAGCGCAGCCACCACTGCTACGTGGAGAGAGAGAGAGAGAGAGAGAGAGAGATGCTCAGGGGAGCGAGCTAGGAGCAGTGTTTTAAATCTCCAGCTAAGTCATTTAGCCCTCGACTTTAAGAAACAACAAATAGCTGGCTATAGCGGTAGCTAACAACTAAATTGTGTCAAGATATGACGTATGTATAGTTCGGCTAGGTTGTTCCTACTTTGTTGTCCAAGATTGTTTGGATAGATCTTGTTGAAGTTTATCTGTTATAATCCTTGATTGGTGTACACGTCACGCCAAGGGCTTTTCCCTGTACCTACTTAACATGCAACCGAGACCCCAAGGCAACTCGTTCAACCACGTTCAACTCGTTCCACTGGATGGTGCGCTGCCACTGGTGTGAGCTGTTGAGATCATACTCACGGGAGTGGGTTCTGTACTCCTGTTATGGTGCAACTAAGAGCATCTCCAGCAGTACTACTACTACCTTTTCTTATTTAGGCGGCCACCTATTTTAATACTATCTATTTTTGGCTTCCAACTCCAGCAGCACTACCTAAACCATGGCTCCAAAATTCATTCTAGCAGTCCATGACATGTGGAACCCACATGTCATCCTCTTCCTTGTCACCGCCGACAAACTCGGCCATCGGGACGGCGAATCGGGAGTGGGCCGTCGCCTGGGGAGTCATCGGAGAAGAATTGGGAGCGGGAGAAGGTTCTGCGGCGAAGGGAGCCACCGGGGAGAGACTCAACTGTGGATCCGGACTGCATGGCCCGTTGGTGCGACTTGGAGGCGGGGAAGAAGCGGGACCGGCGTGGAGGCGCCCTTGCCGGGAGGCACGCCGCACCGGAGAGCGCCTGCGTGACCGGCCGTCACAGACAAGGCAGCTCGGCCGCTGCGGAGGAGGAGGCACGCTCGGCCAGCGTGGAGCGACGGTGCCGATGAGGAGGAGCCGTGCCCGGCCAGGTGGGAGATAAGGCCGGCATCGGAACATGGAGACGCCGCACGTGGAGATGCGGCCGACATCGGGAGGGAGGCGCCGCATGCAGGGGTATAGGAAACTGCCGTGAAAAATTTAGGTAGCCTAATTTGTTGGCCCAATATAGAAGTAGGCAGTGGGAGGAGGAATTTGTTGGATCAACAAAAGTAGATAGTCTGATAGACAGTCTGTTAGAGTGCGTTTTTTAACCTCCACTACCTAAATTGGGGATAGGTAATGGGTGTAAGCAGCCTGTTGGAGTTACTCTAAAGGTCATCGATTCTTGCTGAAGCAGAAGTTTGTGCATGTTAGGGTGTAAACCATAAAAAACAAAGTCATGTCTCAGGAAGAAACAGTGTTTCTTCAGTTCTTGTGACCGAATTGTTTATTTGCAATATACAATATGCTGGGACTGAATTCAGTAACCACAACTTATAAACTGAAGAGACTCACTACAACCATTACATCACGTGTCCTATAAACTTATGAAAATGTTAGATTACTTTAGCTCTTAAGATTCCAAACGGGTAGATCTAAAGTGTTACTTACAGTTTAGTGAACCCTACAAAAACTTTAGGCTATACAAATAAGTTAAAATGATCTAAAAATTTATTCGCTAACTTTAGCCAACTAAACTTTGAACCAGAAAATCCAAACAAGCCCTTACCAGGCAAATGCATATGATGAATGGTGGATGCAATTATTTTAGGACTTGAACCGAGATGACCCACGTCAGTGTTAGGATTCCTGATCGTTGCTTTCTCTGTAGAAACAAAAATAGAAAAAAAAAACAATTCGAACCCACACGACGACGACTTTTCAGACGCGTTCTAGTGAACATGGAAAAATCATACGGTTGCTGATCTTGGATACCGGCGGTGCAAGCGAGGACCTTCGGAGTTTCCGTAGTCTTTAGCCTTTTCCGCTAGTGAATACGTACAAGAAAGACAAGAGGTCCAGCAACCCAGCCGGCATCGCCAGACAAGACGAGCCACCGTCGGCACGGGCGGCCGTGAAGAAGCATCCAGCTAGCCAGCTAGGCCTGACAAACCAGGTCGAGGCGAAGCACCACCGCTGCATCCCAGATACAGGCGCTAGCGGACGAACAAGAACATTTTTCATGTTTATTGCCTGATAAGTTTGTGGCCAACGGTATAATCGCTAAGTTACCACTTTTTTGGAGGGATTTTGCTATTTCTCTAAAACACAAGAGACAAAAGTTTAGCGTGGCTGAGCTTATTAGATTTCTTGATGTTAAGGAGAGGGCGATAGCAAAAGACAACCGTAGAAAAGGAGTTGAGTCTTCCGCTGTCAATATGGTGCAGAAAAAAAACTCATTTGCATCTCGTAATAAAAAGAAGAAGAACATGTAAAAGAACAACAATGCAAAGCATGAGCAAACTGCACAGTTCAAGAAGAAAAACAATAAGAAAGGTGGAGGTTGCTTCGTTTGCGGGAGTGATGAGCATTGGGCAAGTGCGTGCCCAGATCGTAAATATAAGCAAGAAAAGAAATTAGCAAACGTGGTGATTAACGAGACTGGAGGAGGAACATCTGGGTATGGTAATTCTTTACCTTTTGTTCTCTCAGTTTGTTTTTCACCTGAGTGGTGGATGGACAGCGGTGCTAATATCCATGTGTGTGCTGATGTTTCTTTGTTTACTTTCTATCAGGCTAGTAGGATTGGAGCCTTGCTGATGGGAAACGGTTCGCATGCGCGTGTTCTTGGTGCTGGTACGGTCATTCTGAAGTTTACTTCAGGAAAGATGGTGCTATTAAAGAACGTGCAACATGTCCCCTCCATCAAGTAGAATCTTGTTAGCGCTTTTCAAATGTGTCGCGATGGCTTTAAAATTGTGCTTAAGTCCAATAAGTGTGTTGTGTCGAGACATGGAATATTTATTGAAAAAGGTTATAATTGCGGAGGCTTGTTCGGCTTATATTTGCTTGATGATGTGTGTAATAAAGTGGTGAACAATGTTAATGTTTCGGTTGAGTCGAATATATGGCATTCACGACTGTCACATTAACTTTGGCTGTCTCACGCGGCTTGTAAATCTAAATTTAATCTCAAAATTTAACTTAGTCAAAGATTCTAAGTGCCAGGTGTGTGTGCAATCGAAGCAACCGCACAAGCCTCACAAGGCTGTTGAGGCGAGGAACTTGGCACCATTAGAACTCGTATATTTTGATTTATGTGAAATGAATGACGAATTGACTAAAGGCGATAGACGATACTTCATGACATTTATAGATGATTGTACTAGATTTTGCTACGTGTATTTATTAAAAACTAAAGAGGAAGCGTTGCAGGATTTTAAAATCTATAAAGCTGAGGTAGAAAATCAACTTAAGAAGAAAATCAAGCGTTTGCGGTCTGATCGTGGTGGAGAATATTTCTCAAATGAATTTTTTAAGTTTTGCGCGGTGCATGGAATTATTCATGAGAGGACGCCACCATACTCACCACAGTCCAATAGGATTGTAGAGAGAAAGAACCGCACTCTAACTGATTTGGTTAATACCATGTTAGGGACTGCGGGAGTATCTAAGGAATGGTGGGGTGAAGCTATATTGACAGCATGTCATGTCCTGAATAGAGTGCCTACAAAGAATAAAGAAATTACACCATTCGAGGAATGGCAGAAGAAGAGATTAAATCTCTCTTACCTGCGAACTTGGGGTTGTTTGGCAAAGGTGAATGTGCCAATAAACAAAAAGCGAAAGCTTGGACCAAAGACTGTTGATTGTGTCTTTCTTTGTTATGCTATTCACAGCGTGGGTTATAGATTTTTAATTATAAATTCTAGTGTTTCTGAGATGGCTATTGATACAATCATGGAATCTACAGACGCTACGATTTTTAAGAATGAGTTTCTCATGAAAAATGCACCTAGCATGACTAGTCATGAATTTATAATTTCCCATGAACATAAAAATTTTATTCCGATACAACAAACTGAGGAACCCTATATGCAAAATTCTGAGGAGCATGACACTACAGTCATAAGAAAAAGTAAGAGACAAAGGACTGCAAAGTCTTTTGGTGATGACTATATTGTGTACCTTGTGGATGACACACCAACGATCATTGAAGAGGCATATTCCTCTCCTGATGCTGACTTATGGAAGGAAGCAGTACGGAGTGAAATGGATTATGTTATGTCTAATAGAACTTGGGAAACTGTTGATCGTCCCTATAGGTGCAAGCTTATAGGGTGCAAATGGGTGTTTAAAAAAAAGCTTAGACCAGATGGTACTATCGAGAGGTACAAGGCAAGGCTTGTGGCCAAGGGTTATACTCAAAAGAAATGTGAGGATTTCTTTGATACTTATTCACCGGTTGTCCGATTGACCATAATTCGAGTTTTGCTTTTCCTGACAGCTTCTTATTGTCTTATCGTTCTTCAAATAGACGTTAAGACAGCTTTCCTAAACAGAGAGTTGGAGGAGAAGATCTATATGGATCAGCCGGATGGGTTTGTAGCAAATGACCAAGAAGGCA